GAGGCCGGGCCAACCTCTGCCGCTGTGTTACCTGTTGTGTAGTGAAACGTGAAATTCAGGGTCCGGGTTTCATTTGGTGTCTTTTATGAGCACTGCATGTACGCTCAGTTTATAAAAGCCCCACAGTTCTTCCAAGTCCATAATTAAACTCCAGGTTTGTAATTTTTCCTTGCTATGGAAAGCCTTGCAATTGTGGCTCTTTAATTTCACCTGGGAAAGGATTATAGAGCTTTCTGATTTAATGAGCAGGTTTCATGTTAAATGTTGTCTGATTCTGAATCTCTTACCAAGATAGAGACTGTTCCAAGAACAGAGAGTGTTAAGGATAAGGAAACTGATTTCCTTCAAGTTAGTTCCTATATGAAAAATTTAATTATGTCTAGTGAAATGATTTTTAAGAATGAGATGATTGTGTAAAATTAATTACTTGGTTTTAAAACAGCAAGATACCAAGTTAGACCTAAACAAAAACACTACTGTTTGCTTTTTACACACAGATGACTTCCGTTAAGTGTGAAATAAACTTTATTTTAAAAGGCATAAAAATAAATACAATAGACTACTTGCTAAATGAGAGCATCCTGGGGACTTGATCGCTCGAGTAAGTTACGACATTGCTACACATGAATAGTAGGGACTGAACTGCAGTTGGACTAGATCTTTTGGCCAGTATTGGGTTGAATGAGACTTTTGATATCTCAGCCATAATGAATGAAGTTAAATTCCTCTCCACCGTAGCTTTTTGTTGCTGTTATTTATTTTTACTTATTTATTTGAATTGTAGCTACAGTTAGAAAAGGTTTCCTGGGATTAGGAAGTGTAATTATTTAGGCAGCAAAAAGTTGTTTTAGAAATTTTACTATCATTACGAGGAAGTTTTAAAAGGCTGGAATTCCATTGTCTTGTAAGAAGTAAGAAATATTTATTGATTCCCAAATGGAGCTGAAAAAAAACCTTTCCTCTTTTAGAAAGTTGTGAATGACCCAGCGAGAGCTCTAGTAAGCTTTACTGAACCAAGCTGCTAATAGTTATTTAATGTTATTCTTCAGTGTGAAAGAATCTCCCTAGATTTTCCTTTTAATCTCTTTGAATTGCAGGCTCATAAACCTCTCTGATGAGTCCTGCCAGTGTTTTCTTAGATCCCACCGTTGAGACAAAGGAGCCACAGAATTCTTTCACCTCTTGTTGTCAGACAAATCCAATAGAACACAAGGTCAGAAGGGCCTGTACTTCTGAAGGTTGAAAGATTCTTTTCCAAGTAACCACATAAATTATTTGATTTTATCATTATATTCCACAGGAATCTCTCTTCATAATGCATTGCTTTCTATATGTAAGTAAATTTGGATCTTTTTCTTGTCTCCATATTTGGCTAAGCTTTGGATACAGCACAGGATGTGAACGGACCTACATACCTTAGAAAAACTGAGCCCATTTACTTCAAAAGAATTAGGAATCATGTAGTGTAATTGGACTTAAGATAGAGTACCCAAATGCCACGCATTGCATTTTCTTTCCAAATGGCTGGGTTTGTTTGTTTTTAAGTTATTACCATTCTGGAGCTAAGATTCCAGATTTAAATCTTGTACCTATTCCTTTAATTAAATCACGAAGTCAGTTTATGTTTTCTCAATATTTTTAGTAGTGTCATGTTAACAGGAAAACTTTGAGATAGGATTTACATTTTCAGATACCTATTGAAATATTTCATTGTAATGAGCAAAAATATTTATAATATGTAATACTCAAAAGAAAAGGAACTTACCTACTTTGCAGATGCCATGCCTGATTAGAAGACAATTATCAAAGCTAATTACAGGGTTCCTGTGAGTTACTTTACAGGCTAGGGAAGAATTAAGTTTTCTAATTATAACGACAATGGTGGACAAGCAGAGATCATTGTTTAAAAAAGAAAAAAAAAACATTGATTTGTTTGTGCTTCTTCCTTGTAATCGTAGTTAGGGTGGAAGTTGCTGTTGCCCCATTCCCTGGACACCTGCCTCTCAACAAAGGATTGGGGTCACCTCCCCACCCCCTACATTTAGATTCACCTTTTACTTGTATGTGTACCCCTTCTGCTCATTATACAGTTCTCCAGGGATCCAATTTTCCCTGAGTTAATCACCCCCAGCCTTTTTCAGAAGTTGTTAGATTACCGTCTTTTCAAGGAATACACACTTTCTTAGGCTTTTAACTTTTCCCTAACTTTTGTTTCCTTATTTCTATTAAAAAGGGTAGCTCTTGGAGTCTCAGCACACTACCTTTAAAACTTTTTTGTTGAAATGTATCATACATGCAGAATAGTGCACCAATCCTAAGTATCCAGCTTGATGGATTTTCACAATAAACATACCCATCTAACCAGCACCCAGAAGGCCCCCTGTGCCTCCGGGTAGTCACCAGTTTCCCTCACACCCAACACCACAGTGTCATGCAACAACTCAGGGTAGTTTTGCCCGTTATATTTTATATAACAGGGAATCATATAGTATGTTCTCTCTTGTGTCAGATAGGACTTTTAAAACCAGAATCCCCCAAACTTGGACTGTGTCCACATAATATTGAATGATCAGATCAAATAGATATTTAGACAGCCACAGAACATGAGAATATTTTTTAATATACTTCTTTTAACTCTGACCTTGGGCAAAGTACTAACCACTTTTGCGTTCTGTTTTCCCTCTTATTAAAAGATACCATGTAAGTTGACCTGTCAACTAAGAAATAGCTTGCTACTTTAAAGTTACTGTATATAAAGAAAAAAATTAAGATGTAAAGGCCCCTTTTTTGAGGAAATAGAATAATAGAGAGGTGCTCCATGTGAAACAGCAACTAGCTGAGCATAACAGCTTCCTCGTGGAGAGGCACGGCAGTATGCTGACTTCCTTGGCAGTTATCTCTGCCAGTTATTTTTCATTTATTATTTTCAAATAAAAATAGCATAATGGATATATATGAATGGGTTGTCTTTTTGTGTAATTGCTGTATTGCAGGTGTGCAAGATAGGTTAGATTAAGGCTTATTCCTCTTGTCATTACCTCTGCCTTGTCTGATTTGCTTTAATTGATTTCAAAATTACTGAAGATATCGATCAGATACCCTGGAGTATAGCTGGCTTGATTATAAATTATTTACATCTGTTTTTCCTCTAACTACAGTCTGTTAAGTGCCAGTTACCCCCATTCCTTAATCTAAAAGTGTTTCATTTCCCCATTCAAGCAGACTTACCTTAGTTATTCTAAGCACTTGAAACATATGATTAAGATTTTTTTTTCTCTCCATGGGACTTTTAGGGAGAATTTTTAAAAAACTAAAATACTGAATAACCTATAACCAAGTGTGCTTTATATAGAATGTGGGAATTGTTTTGTTCAGAGATTACCTCACATACTGGTACAGTCCGTATAAGCTATTTAGTGGGCACAGCGATGGAGGAACTCCCCCTGACCACTGGGCAGGGTCTTTAGTCTTTGGATTTTAGGGTCCGTTTAATAGATTGTTGGTACCCAGTAAATATGAAGTGATATAATATTTGACATACTTAATAGAAAACCACAGTGAGTTCAAAATATTGTATAATTTTTTCATCTATTTTAAAATTGTGTAACTCACCAATAAATTTTAAACAGGCAGTTATTAAATATAATTAAATAGTAGGCATTCACACAACGGAACAAAGGAAAGCATTCTCAGCAAGTGAACAAGAGACTAGTGAGACAGTTAAAGAAAATTTCATTGGGGTGAAGGGTGGATTTTAGTAGTTTCTTTTAAGCATCGACTTCTAGAAGAATAATACAAGCATACATGAAGTATAACATGCCTTTAAAAACAAAGACAAGTGCTTATCTGTTAGTTGCTGTCTTTGTCCCAAAGTATACTTGTTTTAAGCAAGAGTACATGCTTCTACTACCTAAACTACACACTTACTAAATTTAGGTAGAATGCCAGGCTTCTTTGAACCTTCCACCTGCAGGGAAAACTTTGGCCTAGGAAATAGCAATAGAACATCAACACAATACAGTTGTATTGTATGGTTATTGAAACCTTTTAAAGTAAGTCTAAAGTTACCTATTTCTCTCTTGCAAGCAATTAAAAATCAGATGACTAATAGCCTCTTACATTTGGTTAGAGCTTTTTTCTTTAAAGTACTTGTAGACAGATCTCATTTGATTAGAACAACACACTGGTATTAGTCTGCTCTGACTGTCATAAGCAAATTCCATAGGCTGGGTGGCTTAAACAACAGAAATTTATTTCTCATAGTTCTAGAGGCTGGAATTCCAGATCAAGGTGCCAGTCAATATGGCTCCTGGTGAGGGCTCTCTTACTGGCTGTAAATGGCCTCTTTCTTGCTGTGTCTTTGATACTTTCCTCGGTGCCTGTGCATGGAGAGAGACCCTCTCTCTTCCTCTTCTTATAAGGCCACCGATCTATCAGATTAAGACCCCACTCTTATGGTCTTATTTTACCTTTGTTACCTCCTAAAAGTCTTATCTCTAAATACTTCAATGTATGAATTTTGGGGGGACACAATTCAGTCCATTAACAACCCCTCTGAAGTAGGTAAGAGATAGCTCAGTATATCTAAGGTATATTTCTAAGGTTAGAAAGCTGGTAAAATATTACAGCTAAGGTTCAAAAACAGTTATTTTTGCGCAACTCCATGCTTCCTTCCTTAGTTACAGGTATAGTTTGACAAAAAAAAAATTCCCTATCTCTCACAAAAATAGGGGTTACTAATCACAAGGAATCACCAAAATCAACTCCATGGCTTTTGTATGTTGCATATTTGTGGAAAATAGGATAGATTTTGACTGTTGAAGTTCATAAGAAGTGGACCCCAAGTCATGTAGCCTTAAAACTGCTGTCAGAAGTAATAAACTAAGTTTTTAAATGGTAAGTAAATTACAGCTGTAGTCACCGGGCTGTAGTTGTCTTTTCAGCATTCTTCATGGTTATGGTTAAAGTGCTGAATAAATGTCGCATTTTATATTTTACAGAAGAGGATCTAAGAAATATGGGACCAGTAGATGCTCAAGTATATCTTGAAGAAATGTGTTGGAATGAAGGTTGGGATTTTTTCTCTTGACTATAGTAAAGAAAAATATTACGGATTTTCTTTGAGAAGAAAAACTCATATTTGGAAATCTAAAAAAATAGTAATAGCTTGGCTTTCTAAATATATATATGTGGGTGGTTTTAGGAATATTTTTCATTCTAAACTTCAATTATTGATGTCCCCCATATGACTCATTTCTAGTTATTTTTCTAGTCTAATTAGATGTTAGGTATAGAAGGTTTCATAAGGTTTTCTTTTTTAAATTACTTGGGTTTTGATTTACTTTCCATCTGTGTAATAGGGAAAGTAAAGTTAAAGAAGATAACTTTTCCCATCCTTCCTCTGTTGACATATGAGATGAATTCCTATTAAAATTTTTGTTTATTTTTATTTCTTTACATGGAATCATAAACTATCAGGGCAGGGCTTTTAATATTATACTCTTCTGCTTGGAGCTTGGTTTTTACCCTCCCTTTTTGATTTTATGTCAGGTGAAAAAGAAAAATCTGTCACTCCCTTTTACCTACCATAACGTCTTATCTTTTTCCCTCTTCTATACCTAGAATTTTATTTTATTTTATTTTTTTAAGTTTTATTTTAGAGAAAGAGAGTGCACGTGGAGGGAAAGGGACAAGCAGACTCTGCGCTAAGCCTGACACAGGGCTTGATCTCATGACCCTGAGATCATGACCTGAGGCGAAATCCAGAGTCAGACGTTTAACCAACAGAGCCACCCAGGCGCCCTCTATTACTAGAATTTTACGACTTAAATCTAATTTCTCTACTGTTCTAATAGTTTTCTGAATTGCTCTGGTTAGACACTGTTAAGTTCCTTCTTCTAAATAGAACCCATGTGAATATCACACATCCATGTTTCTCTGGGAAAATGAAGAAAATCTTACTATTTCTTAGAATTTTTATATACTTTAACCCTGTAACTGTTGTTCAGCCTGCAGTAAAAATTCCCTAGGGGTTTATAAAAATTTAATGAGTGTGGATAGGCAGAAGATAAACAGCCCATCCATCCATCCTGAAACCAAGTTTACTGGAATTTTTTTTTTAAATAACTTTTTTTTTTAAGATTTTATTTATTTATTTGACAGAGAGGGAGAGAGAGAGAGAGAGGACACACAAGCAGAGGGAGCAGCAGAGAAAGAGGGAGAAGCAGGCTTTCCGCTGATCAGGGAGCCCGACGTGGGGCTCGATCCCAGGACCCCGGGAACATGACCTGAGCTGAAGGCAGACGCTTAACTGACTGAGCCACCCAGGCGCCCCTGGAATATTTTGTAATTTAACTTGGTGCTCTTAGGAAGGTGGGTAATAGGCTGTTGACTTAAGAGGAGAATCATGTTTGTGCCTCTGGGCCACTCTGCTCCTAAACTGCCAAATGAAATCCTAGAGTATAAATTCTTATTTGGGCAGTGAATGATTGAGAAACTTGAGGTTTTGTGTAACTGGGGCTCCCAGGGTTTTATAATAGTTTCATCAGAGTAAACAAGAGCTGCTATGAAAGTAGAATATACTGGTGACACAGGCTTTAGTGGAAAGGCTTCTAGTTCATGAAGGGGACAGACTAGAACATGTTATTTATCAAGGAGACCTGCCCAACTAAATACATTTTTTGAAAATACAGTATTGCTATCTCATCAGCTAACATTGTGTGTGTTTAATCTCTTCTTAGACAAATTAGTTCTTTTTGCTGCAGCTGATTAACATATTTTGTTTCCTCATGATTCCTGATAATATGAAAATAGTCAAAACTGGTTTTGTATTTTTTCCTTCAGTAGCCTTTTAAAATAAGTTTTTATTTTAAATCAATATGGATTGGTGGTTCAAGCATCTGTTCAGTCAACAAATACAGTGAGCTTTCTTTTTTTTTTTTAGATTTTATTTATTTATTTGACAGAGAGAGCACAAGCAGGGAAAGCAGCAGGCAGAGGGAGAGGGAAAAGCAGGCTCCCTGGGATCCATTACCTGAGCTGAAGGCAGACGCTCAACTGACTGAGCCACCCAGGCGCCCCTGAGCTTTCTGATACAAGTGAAAAAAACAAGATAGTGAAAGAAATGTACAACATGAAATTGTCAAGTTATAAATGTGTTACTATCCTTGGAATTTCCTTAAGTACAGGTGACAGTGAAGATATAGAAGAATCCTAACCACAGCCAATGAATCAGTTACTAGAAGCTTGAGTTAATCTTAAAAATTTAGGACATCCTGATACTTAAATTAAGGGTTTTTTATAAAGATGGAAATAATCCTTATTCTTATGAGAAAAAATACTGAGCAGCAAACAGCTGCATGAAGCCATTATTTCTGTGGGGATATTTATAAACTAATAATGTAAGTTTTGCAGTTGAAAAGAGCAATCTTGGCAGATGAAAATTCAATAAAAAGTGCGATCAGCTGGGCAAATAAAAAATTGTTTGAAGATTCCTTCATGGCCATTTTCAGAATAACCTTGGAAAGTGAAGATCCAGAGCAGGAGAAAAGTGGATGAAACCCTACATGATAGACATAGCCAAATTACCATAGTCTTGAGCCAAGGACAGTATGAAACAATGCATTTTATTACGCTTAAAAGCCATCCCTGAAGAACTGTTTAGAGTGGTTAACCTTTCCCCTTAGGGTTAGTCTGTTTTACAACTTGGTTATTTTGTCTTCAGTGTATTTAAAATGGTTTCTGTGAAGATATCACTTTAAGTCATAGATAATATAAGAAGAAATGTAACAAGATGTGAATTTTTAGTGAGCATTAACATTTGGAATCATCTATGACAAAACTCCACAGTAGCCCATGGTGGCCTCTGCATCATTTACTGAGCACATGTCACCTCAGATTGTTTCTCAGTGCTCACTGAGGTGGTAAAAAAAGAAGAGGGACATTTAGCTTAAGAAAACCAATGGTTAGAATATGTACACTTTTAGACAATTTAATAATGAAACAATTCACTTTTGAAATTGGATCAGACAGGGAAGCTATTAGCATTTTAAAATTCCAAGATTAAATTATTTTTCTTTATGGACAAAAAAGACATTGTGGTGAAAAATAAAAAGGAGGATTAGGTGAATGAATTCATGTTTTCCTTACTGGTAAAAGAAACATGTAAAGTTGGCTTATTTGTTAATTTTTCCAAGGCCATATTTGATTAGAGAACAAATACAAGGCAGTTGAATTTTTTCTTTTTTTCTATTAGTGGCATATGATGAAACCTGAGTGTTAAGGAATAACATTTGAGAATTGAATGAAGTTATTTGATGTATCTCTAATAAATTATGACTGTACAGTAAGCTGATCAGTAATTATTTTTCTTTTACAGTCACTTCTCAGTGACATTGAAATGGAATGATCAGTGGATCAGATTTTTTCAGTTAAAGGACATGAGCATTTCAGGTTCCCAAGAAGATGGTAGACTTAATAAAATTTCCACCATTAGTAGGCTAAATGTTGCGCCGTATCGCCTCTGTTGGGCATCTCACTTCACAGAAATAGTGATACTGGAACAGAGTATCTAAATGTTGAACTTGATAAACAGTTAAGTTAGCAGGGCACCTGGGTGGCTCAGTTGGTTAAGCATCTGCCGTCGGCTCAGGTACTGAGGATCGAGCCCCGCAATAGGGCTCCCTGCTCGGGGGGATTCTGCTTCTCCCCCCACCCCCACTCGTGTTCTCTCTCTCAAATAAAACCTTAAAACAAAACAAAACAGTTAAGTTAGAGTTTTCTCTAAAAGAACATATTCCAGGCAAAAGCATGTTGCTCTACAGTAAAACATGGAGAGCTATTTCTCTCTTTCCTTCACAGTAGTATTTTTGACCGATACATTGTTGAGAGGAATGTAAAATTTATATGGATCTTAAGAAAACAGAAGACTTCAAATAAATGTCCTGGGTCGCTTCTGAGCATCTGCTCTCCCCTCAAGATCTTTGGGCTATTGATTTGTAGCTTTAGCCCTCTACAGATCTCTACAGATCAAGATTTTTTGGTAGATAATTTTTAGAAATACTGCCCCATACAAGAATTTGTTTCAAGTTCTCATTTAAGTGTGTTTTATACTTGCATGTTTTGCAATTTCTATGAGATAAACTGCATTTTTTAAAAAGTTGTTGAAATAGTTACAAGCGTTTGAGGCATTTTGTTTTTTGTTTTGTTTTGTTTGTTTTTTTTACAGATGATCACTCTTTTTCTCTGAGTTGCCGATGTGGTGGAAAATACAGTGTTTCTAAGGATGAAGCAGAAGAAGTTACCCTGATTTCTTGTGATACATGTTCACTAATTATAGAACTCCTTCATTATGGCTGAAATTGTTCACTAAGTGGGATCCTTTAACTGTGTATTCAGACATGTTGAAGAGAGCCCATTCAAGTAAATGTATAAAGCTGATAAAAAGAAGTAGGATTCTTTTTTTGGTCAGCTTTTATTTGCAGAGAAAGTATAAGACTGTCAAGCAAGGGCCACCCCAGATTAATAGAAAATTAATTTAGTTATATGTATTTATATTTTATATTTATAGATCACCAAAAAAAAAAGGACTTGAATTATAAGTTATATTTTGTGAATTCCCATCTGAGAACTTTGTTATTTGGTCCATTTTTCCTTGGTATAAGAATTTTCCATTTCTTTAAGCATGTTTCCTCTTATAATGGGTCACAGTATCATCATGTTTCTTTATAGTTACTGAGTTTCTGAAGTAACATGACATTTCTAGCTGCTAAAGTTACAGGCCTATTGTACAAGTATCTCAAAGTCTCAAGTCATTGGGATTAAATTATAATCTTTGTGAATAACATGTGAGCCTAGTACTCCCATAATGAGGGCTGGATATGGATATTCATGAAGTTATTTCAAAGTTAATAAAGAAGGTAAAGTGGCAACTGTAGAAAGGATAGCTTTGGAGTGAAAAGACTTGACTCGTCCTGACACTATATTTCCATATTCTTCGTGTGGCTACATTAAAGGGAATAAAGCTTGAACACTGCCATCTTCAACTTTAAATGTAACTTAGGAAATGGTAGCTTTAAAAAAAAATAAATAAATTTGATACAGATGCATTATTTTCCTTTTTATTTCAAAGTACTAAGTATTAATTCCTGTATTTATGAATAAGGAACCACACTGCATTGCTGGTATGATCAAATGGACTTTTATAATGTTATTATTGATTATAATAGACTCTAAAGATTTTATTTTTCTGTATATTTGATACTTTATGTACAGTATAAGTCAGGACTCATTTAAAAAAAATTGAGGAATCCTTTATGGGATCACTGGAACTTTATTACTTAATTTCAAATGAGTGAACCAAGCATGTGTCATAGCAGCTTTTTATTAGGTTGAACCCATGGTATTTATTATTGGTTTGGACTTAAAAGACTAGTTACTACTCTGATGTGTAAATGTAGCAAAAGTATGAGGCATATTCAAGAAAAGATTACTTTCGTTATAGCTATAAAACCAAAAATTCAGAAGTGAGGTTGTCATCCAGGTTTTTTCCCTAAAAATATTTTTATATCTATCATAAAATTTAGATGACTTTCTTTTTTAGATTTGAACACCGCCATCTTCAACTTTAAATGTAACTTAGGAAATGGTAGCTTTAAAAGAAAAATAATCTGAATACAAATTTAGATGACTTACGTTTTTATCCATATATTGGAACTAATAGAGCTTGCAGTACGTGTCGTTTATTCTTTACATATAACAATTACAAATGATTAAAACTAAGTAGCAAATAGTTTATTAGTAAGTACATGGTTTCAGTGGCAATAATAAATTCACTTGGAGAGAAAAATCAGAACAATAAATTCTTGCTAATCGTCAGAAAATCTGTGGCCATTAGGGCTGTCACGTAGAAATCCAAAATCACTCAGAGGCCAAATCTGTAAAATTAAAATGTGATTGAAGACAGTTAATGAAAGTGTTATATCATCATCATATTCCCTTTATTCATCCCTTTTCTTTGTGCCATATAAACACTTTCTCCTTATTTTTAGTCAAGAACAAATTCTCTATACCAAAATAAGACTTTAGAAAGTAAACTTGTATGTGCATATGTATTTAAACTCTAAAGTTTGGAATGCTGATATGTTATACAAGAAATTATACGTGTATGGTATGTGAATATATATGTATGAATATGTGTGTCTGTGTTTTCTTTTACTACCTTCAAAGTTAACTGTAAGCCTACGTATTTAAATATAACTTCTGCATAAGTATAAAGAATCCTGCAGATTATCCCACAGCCCCAAGTATTCATGTGTTTTTCTTCTTACTGTTGTGGCAAAAAGGAGGAGCCAGTGAAAATAATAATCCTTCCTACGAGTCCTACATTTACTGTAACCATGGTAAGTCAATGTACTTAACTGGGATATCCGCACTTAACAGTGTGGTTTGACTACACTGCTCTTCTGCAAATGCATATTTATTTCCAAGATACAAATATAGTTGTACAAGTTGTATGAGAAAGAATTACATTCTGGAGGTTTAAACTAAGGGCTTCTTATAGCTAAGGTAGTTTGGACTTTATTATTCAAACAAAAAATTACTCTTAATTACCTGTCTCAGTGGGGAAAAAGGTAATGTTTATAGCTATGAAGGCCAGCATGTGCCTAAAATGTAGTCGCTGCAACAGTTAAGTCCACTGACAGCCTGAATATTTCAAAGTTCATTTTGGAAGAAATTGGTTTTTGTTTTTTTTTTCCAGCTCAGAGAAGAAAACCTACATTTTAAGCAGAAAATAATACCTTGAAAAAGATACGTCCTCTTATTAGTCCATATGGAATAGGTCCATAATACCTGGAATCTGTAGAATTCTGTAGATTATCACCTTCTAACCAAACATGACCTGTTGGCACCTAGAATTAGAGAAGATAGCAGCCCCTTTAAAAAACAAAAACAAAAAAACAAATTTGGGTACTATAAATAAAAAGCATGTCTTCTGGTAGTAGGAAGAAATGTCCTACTAAAGTTCTTTTTTATAAAACACATACAAACCCTATGATTTGTATTTTTGCTTTTATTTCTTGCACAATAAAAAATCTTTTACTAAATAATATTAGTAATGTTAAGATTTCATCATTTTAAAAGACCTATCTTTTTTGCCACATGGTTCCCAAACATTAATTTGTTACACAAACCCCAAACTGAGGTTATAAGAGATCAAAACAGTGTGACAGGGTCATTAATTTAATAGACTTCAAAAGAGGTCATTAGGATGCTGACTGAAAATGTGCCCTCCTGTCTCTGGAACAGCAGAAGCAGGGCAGCCACTCAACTCAGCAACATCCTGGGGCCAGTACCACCGCCAGACCTATTAGAGTGCTCATGATGAACTAAATGGTAATTGATTGTGACATCAATTACAAATAATCTCATCATTTTATTGGAGTGGGCTTGTCAGAATTCTAATTAAGATCCCTGTTCTGCCTTTGTACAGGCCATATCTTCAATGCATTATACTTCAGTAATGACCATCAGGAACTAGAAGGACCTATTATAAAATCATCAGTTGTAAAATTAATGATGGTGACCTACTGAATAAAAGACCCTATCTCCTATATTGTCCTATGTATTAACTGGTAAATAACGTTAAGTTTACATTTTTACTCAATGTCAACCATAAGAATATTTAGAACAGAACATGTTACCTTAAAAAAAATGCGCTCTGTGATATGAAACATTTGCCCATTAATCTATTCTATATAAACTTAAAAAATTACTCTGCAGCAGTAATCCTTAAAGTAGCATTTTACAAGTTATTTTATAGTTTTTGTTACCCAAGAAAGTTGAATTATTGACCAGACCAAGATGATCTACTGGGAAGGAATTTATTTTCACTTTTCTTTTGACTGGCTGTTTATTACTTGGGTACCTTATGTGAAGAAAAATACTCCTACTGGGTTAAATAAGAAATGACTGCAATTTTACAAAATGTTACAAATTACTGCTTTTTAAAGACTTTTTTAGAGCAGTTTTAGGTTCACAGCATGATCGAGAGGAAGGTACAGAGATTTCTCACCCATCTCCTGTCTCCACGCATGCATAACCTTCCCCACTATTGACATCCCCTACCACAGGGGTGTATATTTGTTATACCTGGTGAACCCACATCAACATCATAATCACCCAAGGTCCAGAGTTAACTTAGGGTTCACTCTTTGTGTTGTACATTTTATGGGTTTGGACAAATGTATGACATGTATCCATCATTATAGTATCAGAGAGTATTTCCACCGCCCTAAAAACCCTGTGTGAGCTGCCTATTATTCATGACTCCCCCCCTCCATCCCCCATATTACCTTTTGGAAAAATAAATGTATACAAGCATATAAAATCTGAATTTCACTTTACATCAGAGCTTATATAATTTTGGAATGTCTTATGTAGAAATATTTTTCCAAAACAAGTTATTTTCATTTACATACACTTAAATGTTAAATCTATTTGTAGAGAAAGAACTTAAGTTTCCTGAAAGAGTATCAGATGCTATAAGATCACTTTTTTCCCCCCACTATTAGTGGAACTAAGTTATAGGTTCTAGGGCCAAAAGCAAGACTAATTCCTATCTGTATAAGTGGATTTATGTACAGTCAACCTTATTGTTCAGGTAGAAAAATGAATCCATCTCAGGTCACAGATGAAAAAAAAAAAAAAACCAAAATAGTGTATTTGGAAAAGCCATGTGTCATTAACATAGTCTCAAGTGTCACTATCGGAGAAGCTATAATATGGACATTTTATGTTTAAATTTCCATAGTTTCTCCTTAATATGTGTTTGTTTCTGAGTTGTAAAAAATATGTAATAAACCAAGATCCAGTATACATTCCATTTCTTCATGAAGCTCTCCCCAATCTTGCCTGCCCATACCAAATACTCTTGATGGTTTAGAACACTTTAATATAAAGTCTGCCTTGCCTGGGTCCCTGTATTATAACATCTTATTAACCTGCTTGGCTTTTGTGTAAGTCTATTATTTTATGACCAAATAAGCCAACAGACCATAATCGTGTCGTGATCTTAATTCTTTACAACACCTAAGCCAAAACTGGAAGTCCGATATTTGGTGGTATTTATTATTAATGTAAGTATAAATTCTTACAAAGCAAAATCACTTTTGTATGACTTTTGAATTCTTCCAAATTAGCGAAATAAAGTGATGAAGTGTTATCTCTGGTAATAAATTCTGTTCTGTACTGGTTAATAATAAAATTAACCAGTACAGAACGGAATAAATAATTAACCAGTACAGAACGGAATCTGGAACATATTACCAGAAGCCTTTGGAAGAGTATGACTCAGCTATCTTGACCTAGTCCTTGATTGCAACAGGTGGAACATAAAGAAGGAAATAGTAGTGCAAGCCAGTATATATACATGGCGTTCCAGTTTCTTTAAAAAAAAAAAAAACCAAAACACTCATTTGATCCTTAAAACAATCTGTGAAGTACTATTATTGATAGTTAATAAGTAGGTTCAAATATGGGGCATGCTAATTCCCATTTATCTGAAGCCTATACATTCTAATACCCATGCATCCATTTATAGTAAAGGAAATATCCTCTACCTCTCAGACTTGGTGCTTGATAGAAAGTACACAAATCAAGGAAACAGCCTCATCATCAATGGAACCTTTAATAACAGCTTCTCTATAAACAGGAAAACCTCTAAGTTGGATCTTTTAAATCAAAGCAGTCACTTTTGCTGACCTACCTGCCAACTACTCAGTGTCCAGTAAAAAATTCATGATGTTGAAATTATTCCGCTTATTTTTGGTATAGAGTAAGAGTGTACACTTTAAAAATCAATTTTTTAGAGGTATACTTTATATAGTGTAAAAAGCACTCATTTCAAGTTTGACACTAGTTTTGGAAATGTGCACACCTACATAACTGCTAATTACAATCAAGGATGTAGAACATTTTCATCATGCTGAAAAGTTCCCTCCTATGCCAGTCAACCTCCCATCCCTATACCTGGTACGAGGCACCTAGTGAGATCTGTTACTAGAAACTAGTTTTACCTGCTTCTAAATTTAATATAAATAAGATTGTACTACACATATTTATTTTGTGTCTGGCTTTTGTTCATTTTTTTATGATTAATCTAGTTGTATGTATCAATCATTCATCCCTTTTTACTTCTAAGTAGTATCCTATTGTAAATTACAATGTTTGCCCATGAATCTGTTGATGGCTATTTTTCTTTGCAGTTTGGGGCTGTTAAGAATAAAGCACTCTAAACATTAATATGTAAGTCCATTTCTTTTCAGTAAATACCAAGGGGTAAAATTTCTAGGCCATAAGTGTATGCCTACCCTTAAACTTTTCCAAAATAATTAAATCATTTTACACTTGCAGCAGCAATGTATGAGTATTCCTGTTGCTCCACAACCTTGGTATTTTCCTTTTTAAAAATTTCTGCACTTCTAGTAAACTGTTGGTGTCACATTGTGGTTTTCATTTGCAGTTCTCTGATGAACATTTTTTTCTTGTGCCTATTAGTGTATCTTTTGTGAAGTGTCTTAAAATATTTTTCCTTATTTTTAAAATGGGTTGTTTTCTTACTCATTTTAAGAATCCTTTATCTTGAGTATAAGTCCTGTGACAGGTATTACAAATATTTCCTCCTAGTCTGGGTCTTTTTAATTTTTTTTGCCATTTCCAATGTACTGTAAAGCTATACAGTGTTTTCTAAGTTCTGTATATTCACTTGGTTCTTTTTGATATTTACCATTTCTTTCCTCATTATGTTCATCCTTGAGATCCTTGAAAATATTTAGATTTGGTGTTTTAAAGCATGTGTCTGTTAATTCCATTACTTCTGTTATTTCTGGATCTATTTAATTGATTTTTCTTCTGGTTATGGATTACACTTTCTTATTTTTTCACATATCTTGTAGTTTGTGACTTAGCTGGACATTGACTTGTTGAGTGGATTCTGTTTTTTTTTTACAGCGGGTTGAATGTTGAAGAGGTCTGCTTGTTTTGGGGGAGGCAGATAAGTTAGCTGTGGATCAGCTTATTCCTTTCAAGCCTTGTTTTTAAAGCTTGTCAGGTTGGGTGTATCTCACACTGTACTCTTAGGGCTACTTTAGGCGTACTACTAAGTAAGGCATGATATTCAGGGATCTCTACTGAATGTGCAGGATATTCAGTAAGATCTGTCCACTCTGGCTGGTCAGAACTCCAGTGGCTCTTAGCCCTGTGTGAGCTCTGGGAATTGCTCAGCTCCCCACTCATTCTTTGCTCGGTCTCTACGTTTCATTGTAAGCAGGCACAATTTAGTATTCAGCTCAAAAGCCAAGAGAACACCTAAGGAGATTTATGGTGATCATTCGGTAGCTCTGTTTTCCCAAGTAGTCTGATCCATAAGTTCCAACCACTTAAACTTCCCTCTATACCAATCTGTCTCTTCAACTCAGCAAAACCACTATGCTTTGGCTTGAATTTTACTTCAGTACCTTGTGAAACACCTGACGCGCAGCAGGAGTTGGGGCAGGTATAGGGCTTGCCTTGTCTACCCTCTTTTTAGGGATCTGTCCCATACTTCCTGCTATGCATTCTCTGAGAACAGCTGTTTTACATTTTTGTCCAATTTTCTAGTTCTTTATGGCAGGATGGCAAGTTCAGCATCAGTTACATCATCATTACTAGAAACAAATGTTCAAATTATCTAATTTTTAAAGTCTTTATTATTTTTCTTAGCATACCTCATAACAATATGAAGAGACTCCTTATGGTAAAAACGGAAAGTTTTTGATGTAAGGTAAAGTGTGCCTTTGGCATCTCTCTTCACCTTGAGTCCCTTTCAGTTGCATCCCCTGCATGTTTTTGTCCTATCCTTTCTCTATCAAAATCTCTAGAAAAGATCTGCCAAACTCAGCATGCAATTATGTATAAATAAGGAAGTTCACTATGGTATTGCTTGTATCTCAAAATTGGCAAAAGTATAAATATTCCTCAGTAGGTGCAGATCAAATAAAATATGGTTCATTTATATAATAGTAGACAGCTGGTTAAAAAAAACTAGTAGATTTACATGAATACCATCAGTGAAAAAAATAAGTTACACGGCAATATGTATAAATGTTTAAAAGAAATCCACAAAAACATATATTTCAAAATTTACATTTTTATGACCAGTATATACTACTTAGATAATTTAAAAATGGATATAAACCTCAACTTACCATGCAGTTATGTCCCAATTAACCCATCATAAGTTGAAAATGCAGTTGACCCTTGAACACAGGGGTTGGGGTGCTGATCCCCTACCCTCCCACGCCAAGTCGAAAATTCCCGTATAACTTCTGCCTCCCCCAAAACTTAACTATTAATAATCTGTTGACAGGAAGCCTTACTGAGGACATAAACAGTCGATTAACACGTATTTTATATGTATTATATACATATTCTTAAATAAGCTAGAGAAAAAATATTCAGAAAAATCATAATGATGAGAAAATACATTCACAGTACTATAGTATAAAAAATCCACATGTACATGGACTCACGCAGTTCAAACCCCTGTTGCTCATGGGTCGACTGTATTTTAAGTCAAAAATGCATTTGATATACCTAACCAACTGGCCATCATAGCTTAGCCTAGCCCACATTAAATGTGCTTACAACACTCATATTAGCCTACACTTGAGCAAAATCATCTAACTCAAGCCTTTTTTACAATAAAGTGTAGAATATCTCAAGTAATTTATTGAATACTGAAAGAAAGTGAAAAACAGAATGGCTATATGGGTACAGGATGGTTGGTTGTAAATGGTCACATTACCCTCTTGATGGCATGGGTGACTAGAAGCTGTAGCTCACTTGCTGCTTCCCAGCAACATGAGAGTATCATACTGCATATCAGCCCGGGAAAAGATCAAAATTCAAATTCTGAAGTACAGTTTCTACTGAATATGTATCGCTTTTGTAGCACAATAAAGTCAAAAAAATCTTAAGTCAAACCATCATAAATTAGGGACTGTCAGTGTGTACACACACACACACACGTTATCTTAATGTGGCTATCCTTTTCAAGCGATACTTGTACTTTTTTAAAAAAAAGAACATGGTCCATCACAATACAGGTTAGGAAGAGCTTTGTTGAATTAATTTTTTTTTTTTTTTTAACCTTTGCTAGTGTGGAAAGAGAAAGACCTAACTTCCAATCTAGATAGAAGGTTTGCTTTTTTGTATAGTATAAGTAAATGACTGCACTTAGCAGTATTGTCACCAGATCTCTGGATAACTAAAATATTTGTCTAGCTAAGAACTCATTTCTTTAAATAAACATAAAGTAAACACATTTTTGGTATGGGTCTGAAATTCAAAACCTGACCTTTCTGGTACAGACTGAGGCAAAAAAACAGAACAAAAATTTCCTTTCTTACTCAAAATGCAGTTATTGTCTCTGGGATTAAACTACTGATTATCACTGAACTGAAAATTCAAACCAGAGGGAAAAAATTCTATAGCAATATTATAGTATTAATAGATTAAATGGTAGTTTAAAATGTAGACTCCAATAAACTGATTTGTAATAAATGTTTGCAAATTACAAAAAATGGAAATCCCTAATTCTATGCCTTTGTTCGTTACTTCTCATAACCGAAACTTTAAATGGTTAGATTACTTTTCCTTTTCATACCTTTGTCAATCTGTTATGCCAAACTTGAATGAATCTGTGAAACTGAGTAAGAATATATGAATATGTTTATAGTGAATACCACATAGGAATTTTTACTTTGGCTCTAATGTGAATTTTCCCAGGGTCTCAGGACTTACTCTAAGGGCTAAATTTTAAAGCATTAAAAGAACCCTTAAATCATTCTTGTTTCTCCTTTCTACGTCAGAGGTTTACTTCCTGATGTATGATAATACCTAATCTCAGGGCTGGACAAAAGAATCAAGCCTCTAGTTCTTAACTATACTTAACAGAGGTCTAGTTAAGTGCCTCCTTTATAGTACAAGCAACAAATGTAATTGCCTCATGGCCTGTGGGTGTCCATTTAACAAAAGAGGCTTTGTGAACCAACCCACAGGTGTTACTTTTCTCGATTCAAATGAAATCTGATGCAAGAGTCCACAATATCAGATAACACATTTACTAAACTGCAATCAAACTCATTTATTTAAGCAAAAAATACCTAATTAAGAGAAAGATCCTACTGAAGAATAAGATATTTGTATGTCTGACCTTTCAAAAATTTCAAAAAACAAAAAATTCTAATAACAGGTTGATTTTTTTAATGAACCCTTTCTTTGCCAGATATTTTATAATTTACAACCAACAAAGAAAGGCAGGAGGGTATAAAGCCAAGGAGAGGGGCAAAGTTTTTGGAATCTTTTTTTTTTTTTTTTTTTTTAAGATTTATTTATTTGACAGAGAGAGAGAGGGAGAGAGCGCACAAGCAGGGGGAGCAGCAGAGGGAGAGGGAGAAGCAGAGAAGCAGGCCCACCGAGTAGGGAGCCCGACACAGGGCCCGATCCCAGGACCCTGGGATCATGACCCGAGCTGAAGGCAGACGCCCAACGACTGAGCCACCCAGGCGCCCCTGGAGTCCTTTTTTGACATGATTATTTTTCCTTTTCCTGAATTATAAAGGAAGAGAGGGACACACATTTTATGAAAGCAATCAGAGAAAGCCTTGTTTCTTTTTGGCAAAAGCAAATGGGGGTGATCTATCAGTAACACATTATTTAATCTTAAGAGTATTTATTTCATTTTCCACACATATTTTAAAGATTTTGTTTTGGGTCTCATAGAATGATAAATGTGAAATATAAAAATGCATAATTTCCCTACCCTGGAAAAATGTCCACATGATGAATGTACATTTCATTTTATATGTCATTTTACTCTAACAGTGCCCATAAAATTGTTTTTTATGTTACTATCTTCCAGGTAAGCAGGATCAAGTCAAATTACTATCCCATTATGTCGCTAATGTATATTCTGTTTAATCATGACTTACATAACCAAAATGCAGCCATGGTAAGATGCTGTGGACACAAACTATTGGAAAGAATAACTGGAAAATGAAATAATTTATTATATAGTTCTAAAAGAACTTCATAAAACCTGGTATTGTATGATTCATGCAAAAGCAAAATTAGAAACACCATCAATCAGTAATTTTTGGAGTTTACTCTTCCTATAACACCAATAAAAGCTATAAACAAAGACATATGTCAAAAAGTGAAGCACTGAATCCTCCTAGGGGCAATCAAGTAGAAGAGCTCTT